ATAAACAAAATCTTTAAAACAAAAAAGTTGGGAACCAGACAGGTATGTTCACTTTCAACATTTTAACTCAACATGGTATTAGAAGTCCTCGCCACAGCAACTGGACAAGAAGAGAAAAGCCATCTTAGTTGGAGAGGAAGAAGTAAAATTGTCATTATTTGCGGATGATATGACACTATATATGGAGAACCTTGAATAGTCCACAAAAAACTATTAGAACAATAAATGAATTCAGTAAAGTAGCAGGATACAAAATATTCAGAAATTGTTTGCCAATAATGAACTATCAAAAAGAGAAACTAAGAAAATCCCATTTATAATTGCATCCAAAAAAACCCCACAAAAACCTAGGAATAAATTTAACCAAGGAGGTAAAAGACCGGTATTCTGAAAACTGTAAGAGAAGAAAGAAATTGAAGATGATACAAATAAATGTAAATATACTCCATGCTCAAAGATTGGAAGGATTAACATTGGTAACAATGTCCATACTAACCAAAGCAATCTCCAGATTGCCTGTAATCCCTATCAAAATACCAATGGCATTTGTCACAGAACTAAAGCAACTAATTAAAAATGTATGTGGAACCAGCCAAGGCAATCTTGAGAAAGTAGGACAAAGTTGGAGGTATCATGCTAGTTGATATCAAACTATACCACTGATATAAAAACAGACACATACATCAATGCAACTGAATCGAGAACCCAGAAACAAATCCATGCCTAAATGGTCAACTAATCAATTTGTGACAAAGGAGGCAAGAATATACAATGGGGTAAATACAGGCTCTTCAATAAATGGTGGTGGGAAAACTGGAAGGTGTGTACAAAAGGAAAGAAGGAAGGAAAAATACCATTTTCTTACACCACATACAAGAATAAATTCAAAATGCATTAAAGACTTAAGTGTAATACCTGAAACCATAAAACTCCTAGAAAAAAAAACGTAAAAGCAGTAAACCCTTTGAATTTCTACAGGCAGTATTTTTTTTTTTTAAATATGTCTTATGCAAGGGAAACAAACCGAAAAAAAAAAAAAAGCAAATGAGACATCAAAATAAAGACTTCTTTGCACAGTGAAGGAAACAAACCATCAACAAAATGAAAAGACAAGCTACTGAATGGGAGAAAATATTTGCTAAAGATACATCTTGTAGGTTTAATATCCAAAATTTATAAGGAACTCATATACCTTAACACCATAAAAAACAATGTGATTGAAAAATCGGCAGAGGACCTGAGCAGACATTTCTCCCAAGAGGAACATACAGATAAGCCAATAGATATGAAAAGAGGCTCGACATCACTAATCATCAGGGAAATGCAAATTAAAACAACAGTGAGATATCACCTCACACCTGTCAGAATGGCTACCATCAATAAATCAACAACCAGTAAGTGCTGGCAAGGATAAGGAGAAAAGGGAACTTTTGTGCACTGTTGGTGGGATTCTAAATTGGTGCAGCTACTATGGAAAACAGTATGGAGGTCCCTCAAAAAATTAAAACTGGATATACCATATGACCCAGAAATGGAATTTTATCTAAAATTCCAAAGAAATCTTTGGTATTTATCCAAAGAAATCCAAAATACTAATTTGAAAAGATACGTGCACCGCTCTGCTTATTGAGGCAGTGTTTGTAATAGCCAAGATATGGCAGCAACTTAAGTGTCCTTCAATAGACGAATAGAGAAAGGCATGATACATACATACAATGGAATGTTAACTCAGCCATTAAAAAGAATGAAATCTTGCCATTTGTGACAACATGGATGGACCTAGTGGGTATTACGCTAAGTGAAGTAAGTCAGACAAAGGCAAATACCACAAGATTTCACTTATATGTGGAATTCCAAAAGTGAAATAAGTGAACAAACAAAACAAACTCATACAGAGAACAAAACAAAGAACAAACTGATGGTATCAGATGGGAGAGGGGTTGGAGAAATGGGTGAAATGGTGGCGGGATTAAGGAATACAAATTTCCAGTTATAAAAATAATTATGGGGATGTAAATTACAGCACAGGGAATATAGTCAATAATATTGTCATAACCATGTATGGTTTCAGCTGAGTATTAGACTTACTGGGGTGATCACTTCATAAGTTATATAGATATCTAATCACTATGTTGTACTCCTGAAACTAATATAATATTGTATGCCAACTGTAATCGAAAAAATAAAAGCAAATTTAAAAAGACTAATTCAGAATCAGATAAGGTAATGTTACTGAAACTCACAGAATTTATGATGCACGAAGTTCTGAAATTATGAAGACCATAAAAAAAGAAAGGACTAAAAGTTTTCTCATCAGAAATGAGGACTTCAATTAAGGTTGAGAAGCATGGATTTTTAAAGAAACCAATTAGTTCTATTTAATGACTTTGTCCAAGAACACTTGGTACCCTGAGAGAAGGATGGAAAAAAACAAGTGAAAGGTGCTTTCTGCAAGGTAGGAGCCTGGCTTGGCTGGGTATGGTGGAGGGACAGAGAAGCTCAGCTGTATGAGTTTCTCCTTAGGGGCATTGTCAGTGTGGCTCACCCTAGCGTGTCGGCTGAAAATGAGAGGCGGGATTAGGAGAAAGGTCAGAAACATTTCTTTAAGTTGGGGGAGCAGGTGTTAAGGGACTAAAGATTATAAAGAACATGAAGAATAAATTATTTTGAAAAGAAAAAGCAGATAAGTAGAAAGTCGATTGAAGAATTTCAGAATTTAAGATTATGGAGGTAGAATTCTTAGGGTTGGGTCTGGAAAACATGTTATCTTTCAAAATACAAATAGGAACATACCTCTTGTGGCTTGAAAACCTTTATTTCCGGGTGAAGCCTTTACTACTTAAGGAACAAACAAGGCTCATCACAAATTGCTCCCATTCTTCTTCCAGGCGAGTATGTCCTCATTTCTTCTTGTGCACCCCGTATGCTAACCATACTCTGTGCACAGAATCCCGAAGGCTTTCATCTACTTTGCCTTTGCACATGCTGTTCCCCTTGCATGAAATGCTGTTCCTGCTCTTCTCTGCCTTGCAAACTCCTGCCCATCTTCCAGGCCTAACTCAGGCAGCACTTTCTCTGCCAAGTTCTTCTGGGCTTCCGCAAAAAACACTGCACACATTTCCCTCTTTGCTCCCAAAATACCCTTTAGACCTTCTATGGAATTTTACCACTGCCATATTGATTTATATGTCTCTATTCAATAGATTGCAAACTCCCTGAAGTCAGAACATACCTCTTTTCTTTACCTACAGGGCAAGCACATAACACTAGGTGCTTAATACATGCTTTTGTTGTCTTTGCTGTTGAATTTTAAACCAGTGAGTTAATCTGGTGCTCCTCAGACATGAATGTGCATTCAAATCACCTGGAGACCTTGTTAAAATTTAGTTTCTTATTTAGTCTGAGATTTTGCTTTTCTAACAAGCTCTCCGGTGATGCTGGTGCTGCTGGTTTATGAACTCACCCAGTGTGCTTTTGCCCAAGTAAATAGCAGAAATGTAGTAAAGATAAAATCTAATAGGAATGTGGAAGTGGAGCAGTTATGGGGAAAGAGACTTGAAAAACCCTCAATATGAACACTGGAGTCCTAAAAATGATAGCAGAAAATCCTGTGGGGAGAGATGTTTAAATCACGGAATACAGTAGGAGACCAGGGTGGAGGATGGCAGTTGGAAGGTCTGGGATGATACCGTTGTGTGACTTAGGTTTTACAAAAGGAGGGGCTGTCTGGTGCCGCCACCGCTGTGTCAGGATGGCAGCGGAGGCTGCTCCCTGTGGGGAGGGCTGCGGGAGGAGTGGCCGTGTCAGAGGTCGGGTTTGGGGGCTCACAAGAAGGGCTAGGGGCCTCCAGTGTCTATTCCCCGGGGACTGGCGTCCCTGCCCGTGTGGATGGGAGCGTGGGGGAGGGGGAAGCCGCACCCTAGGGAGGGGAGGGAAGCCCCTGGAGAAATGGAGGGCACTGGCATTGGACAAAGGGTCATTTCCTGATCTGAAGTTTCTAGGTTCAAAATGTGAAAATTCTTTTTCTTTTTTTAAACTCATAAATGACGGAAAAAGCAGCACTAATAAGCATTCTGTTCTCACATATAATCTCACAGGTCTGATAATGCTAAGGATGGGTTCAGTCAGCCTAATTTCTTTTAAGTACTGTTGCGCAGAAGGTATGATAAGTACTAGTATACTATTTGGCATAGGGGAAAAAGCAAAAATAAAGAAATGTTTACATCTCCTTCCCCCCACAGTGAATGAATGAATCAATATTTACAGCCTGATTTGGGCTCTTCCAGCTTTTTTTATCCATGCAAATTCATGTGCACAGAGACAGGAATTTTTCAAATTCCATAATGGTGTTTTTGCATCACATTATTCTGCAGATTGTTTTTCTCACTTAGGAATATGTCAGAAACATCCCTCCAGGTCAGTGAATAGAGCTCTAACTTATCTTTTTTCTTAGTCATTGTTAAATAGTTGTATAGGAATATAGATGTCCCATAATTTGTTCTGCCATTCTCCCCTTGATGGAAAATTGGGTAATTTCCAATTTGGCCACTACAAACAATATGATACAAAAAAAGTCCTATTGTTACCAGAACTCTGTGATTTCAGCCAGCCATACACATCACAATTAACTTTTATGTCAAGGACATTTTTAAATGAAGCATATCATTGGCTAGGCTTGTATTGTCCAGTATAGTAGCCACAGGTCACATGTAGCTATTGAAATTCAAATTCACTAAAATTAAGTCAAATTACAAATTCACTTCCTCAATCACAACAGCCTCATTTCAAGTGTCCAGCAGCCACATGTGGGTAGTGGCTGCCATACTAGACATTGCAGAGCAGACCATTTGCAGCCTCTCAGAAAATGCCCCTGGACAGCCTGGACCAGGCGCTCCGATGTTACATCCCGAAGGAGGAGATCTGTTCCAGTGGGCTGGTGTTGTGATGAGAGCACATTTTAAAAAGTACAAACTCTGTGTTTCAATTGGTTGCCCCTGCAGTTACTTCAATGAGAATCAATACCCAGATGAAGCAAAGAGAGAAGAAATTGCAAATGCTTGCAATGCAGTCATACAGAAGCCAGGTAAGGCCGCAGGCGCTGCTGCACTCCGTGGGGTGGCTCGGGCTACAGGGCATGACACAGGGCAGGTCTCTTACCCCACCCCTGGGCGCTCTGGCTCCATCTCTGCCGTCCTCTGGGGAGAGTCACCTCCCTGTCCTGTTGCAACCATGCTTCCAAGGGATGTGAGGGTGGCAGTCTCCAAACCAGACGTTCATGGGGGTAAGTTTCCAGAGAGTCATCCTCATTCAGATATGAGACCTTGAAATTATTGTTTTCAAAGACTAGATTTTTCCCCTCAAATATAACATCAGTATATCAGTTCCAAAATAATTTTAAATGCTTAAGCAGTGTTTGTTAATGAAAAGATTGAGATAGATTTTTTTTTTTTTTTAACAATTGTAAATTGTATAATTCTGTCTTCCTGTTTGAAGAAAGAATTCTTTTTGGAGTTGGCGTCTGTCTCTTTCCTGCACTGAGATGGCTTCTGCTTAGCAAGGAAGGACTTAGGGTAACGCCAGTCGGAAGTCGTGTTATTCTCATGCAAGTCAGCAGAGCCACTTACACACTCGTGTCTCGTCTTCAGTGTGCTAAGATATTCCACGCTTTACAGTTTTTGTTACCAGAAACCATTTTCAGTTAAAATGACCCAGTTGATCTTTATTTGGCCAGTTAATCTGATTGGCTTTAAAGACTTCAAGTGAAAGCATAAATGCTTTACAATAATTAACTAGTAATCTACTCTCCCTTAGCTAGAAGCCAGACTGCTAGCAATCCAGGGCCTACAAACTCAGCTCCAGAAACACTTCAGCCCTTATCTCACACGCCAAGCCCCAGCCCTAAGGCTGTGGAACTCTTCCTGGAAAACGCATTACCCCCCAGTTCTGGTTTCTCCACGTGCTGGGGATTAAAAGCTGAAACCGAAAAGGATGGGGAGGAGGGAAAGGTACAGGTGGGTCCTCGTTGGCAAGCATGTGGTGCTTATCCATAAGAAGTCACATTTGACAGCAAAGAAGATAATAAATCTAAAACGCAACCTGCTTGTGCTGTGTTTTAGCAGTTACAAGAACGGATGGTTAGAGTAACCATTAGTCTCCAAGAAAACATGAGTAATATCCTCTGTCTTAGGACAGTAGGAAACTAGTTAATATTAAGGTCTGAAAGGCATAAGTAAACTTAAGCTGTCTGGAAACTTGCTAAAGAATAGCATATTCATCTAGAATGATGCTAATTAAATGAAGCCTGTGTGTGAGATCATGTGAACTCCAAACCCAGCAGATTGACTTTGTGGAATCCTTTAAGATTGTATTTAGTATTAGAATTCTTTAATACTGTGTGGCTTTCTGAACTCAAGGATTTTATGTTATTAGTTGCTATTTGTGTATTTATTCTATAATAATTTGTGTATGAGCATTGTACTAGGTAATGCAAAAACAAACAAAAAAAACCCATATCTGGTATGCCAGCAATACATGCAATCAAAAGAACTTTTAAGTAAGAAAAGTATTATTCCTTAAAACTAGTCTCAGATATAGATGCTCTGAATTTTACTGTATGCACTTGCAGGCAAAAAACTGTCAGACCTGGAACGAGTTACGTCCCTGAAAGTGTATAATTGGTTTGCTAACAGGCGGAAGGAGATCAAGAGGAGAGCCAATATCGGTAATGTATCAGAGAGGCTGCCCTCTCTGCTCACGCTGGGACCAAAACGGTGTTTATTGTAAGAGTGACTTCAGTTTAGGACTGCAGGTTGAAATCACCCTAAATTTTAAGTCTAATAAGAATTGCCCTTATGTTTTTCTTTATTGTATTTTTAATAGCCTGGAGATAGTATTATTTAAACTATTTGTATTATAATAATAACGGCATTATTATTTCTGAAACTCATTGTTCTTGATGTTCTAGAATCTACAGTGAGACATGGTCTGACCCAGTGGTGCATGTTAAAGATACTTACAAGTCATGTGATACCCTAACCTTTTTCGTTATTACTGGGCTGTGACTTCAGTATTAAGGAACATCTTAGTATTGTTAGAATTAGAATGAAAGAATCTTAGGAGAGAGAGAACACAGCAAAAGGCAGAGATTTGTTTTAAAAAAAAAAAAAAAGGAGCAAGGGCATTTAAGAAATGTGAATGGATGAGGCTGGAGTGGGAGATGGGTTTTGAGCTTCTCAATTGGTATTTTATGTATAAACCTACGCCCTCTTCACCATTACAAATCTCAAACACTTTCTAGAACCCCAGAACAGGAGGTTTGTGTCATGGGTAAGCATTTACAAAGCACCCAACTGTCGACCACTTGGACGCAGCACACACAGCAGCAGGCGCTCCAGAATGACATGTTCCTCCCTGTCCCATGTGCAGCTGCTTTCCTTCCGTCAGCCATTTGAAGGAAACAAAGCATAGGAAAATCTAGGTTCTTTTTTAACGACATCCTAATTCCTCAACACAGAAATAAATTCAGCATTTAGGCCATTGTGATGATATAACAGATAATTTAGGGATCTATTTGCTTTTTTCGAAGAAGCAGCAATCCTGGAGAGTCATGGGATAGACGTACAGAGTCCAGGAGGCCATTCTAACAGTGACGACGTCGACGGGAATGACTACTCAGAGCAGGTGAGTAGCTGAGCAGAGTTCTTGGTTACGAGTGGGTGGGACTGTATGACAACTGAATTCTGTGGGTGCACTTGGTATGGGGTGGGGGAGAGGAGACGGTCTAATGTCCCTCCAATGTACTCATGTGTCTACTTAGATTTTCATGTAATTAGGAAGGAACGTGGTAAGATTCGGTTGTCCTGATGAATTTGTGAGAAGTCGTTATTCACCCACATGGATTTATTGTCATACAACAGGATACTTGGCAAGTACGCAATGGGGAGGAGGAGGAGGGAAGAAGTTCAGAGGGAGGCAGAGAAGCAGAGAAGGTAGAAGAAGAGAGGAGGATCTGATCCAAACAAGCAAGTTACACCATTCACCACACACACACTCAATGTTTGAGAAATACTAGGGGCGCTGGGTAGCTGTACCCCATGCCTACACATGCACCAGCGCAGCACACAGTGGAAGGCCCACCCACTGCGGCCCACGGCAGTGGGGCCTGGTGCTGACATGAGTGGTTCTTCCAGAGCCTCTGCACATTGACACACACATCCTCTCATACGTGCATGTCTTCCCACCTCACCCTGACATGTTATTCATTGCTCAGGGGGGAAATATATTTAATTGTAGCCACTGGATGGAAAAATGCACTAAGAATGTGGGAAGTTATCCCCCCACATACCAGATTTCATTAAAATTTTTGTAGGATTTAAAAATTAATTTCCATTTGGCCCTGGCTAGTGTGGCTCAGTGAATTGAGCGCCAGCCTGTGAACCGAAAGGTCGCTGGTTCAATTCCCAGTCAAGGTACATGCCTGGGTTGTGAGCCAGGTCCCTAGTTGGGGTCTTGCACATCGATGTTTCTCTGTCTCTTTAAAAAAAAAAAAAAAATTAATTTCCATTTGGAATATGGTCTCTTCTTCTGGACTCCAGAAAAGGAACTTTCCTATGGTGATACCCCCATTCCTTGCTCCTCAGCCAGGTCTATACACAGCTCACTGTGTTTTCCTCCTGCTTCCATTTCATAGCCTCCTTAGCCAGCTTGAGTGCAGGTACTGCAGGGGCACGTGCAGTCCCAGGCCAAGCCCTTTTTAAACCCCTGAGAGCAAGCCACGAAAGTGAGAAGGAAACTGTTTGTCCGTACTCTCTACAGGCTCCCTTTTTATCTTCAGGGCTCCAGATCTCACCTCCACATTTCACTCAAGACAATGTTCTCCTAAGTCTAATTGGAAACATTCCTGTTATTTTCAATCTACTCACGTAGAGTGATCATTTCCATTTTTTCCCCCCAGATGCCCCACGGGCAGCACATCCCACGCTCCCCTCCCCACATTACCCTTTCCAAAGCTTTTGATGCAGAGTCCCCTGAGGATGTGACAGGTGAGAAAGTTACCCCGTGTTTGTAACACCCTTCAGTGCCCGAGAAACACCCCGCAAGGCCAGCTTCCCTCGCTGCTTTGCTGTTTAACACCTCAGCTGTGTGTGGGAGAGCTTTGCCCTCCTTCCGAACGAGACACCTGCTGCCCCTCTCACAGGGCCACCTGACCGCCAGGGAGCGCACACAGTTTCTCCCACAGCCTTTCCACAGTAACTCTGCTGTTCTGGTATAATTGAGAGGTTTTTGTTTTGGTTTTTGTTTTCTGTGGTTTTTTGTTTTTTGTTTTTGGGGTTTTTTAGCAAAAGTGCATTTTTATCTGTACAGTTTTGGTGTCTGTGTAGCATTTTGTCTCATTTTCTCAGTTCAGTGGAGACACCATGAAGTCTAATAATCTGTTTGTAAGAGTACCATTCCAGAATTTAATAGCTCACTGGTGTGGCCTTCACTGACTAGTACTCTATTTTTGCAATTCTGGAATGAGCCAGGTTTGATTATCGTCACCAGCAATCTTTCTGAAAGAAGGAATAAAATTCTCAGCAAGAAAAAACATTTTGGTGCTGCTTATTTGTTGAATCACAAGACTGTCAACCAGAAGTCTCTGGACATATATCCATTCAGTGTCTACTTAAATACATTTCACCTCCACTCTCTCATGAGCTCCTGCCCCCCCCCGCCCCCCGCCCCCCCGTGTTCTGCCTCCCCTCGCCCCAGCATGCTTTTCTGTGAGCTAGAGAATGGTGCCAGTCACTAACATTTGTTTCTTGTTTCTGCACATCTAGGATGACAGCACTAGCCATAGTGACCACCAAGACCCCATCTCATTAGCTGTGGAAATGGCAGCAGTCAACCACACTATCTTGGCATTGGCCCGACAAGGAGCCAACGAAATCAAGACAGAGGCCCTGGATGATGACTGATCAGGGAGGGGTGGACGTGAGACGTTAACTTAGTTTAGACGTAGCACCTTAGCAGACTTTCCTCGGTCCTTAACATGTGTTCTTACAGTATAACTTGCAGTTTCTTGTATGTCAGTTAGCCGTTAGGGTCTTCTTGTTCTGTGAAGATGGCATGGTGCCCTCAGCCTTCGCATATACTCTCTCAGTATTAACTCCCAGTAAATAATAAGCAACCGACTGACCAGACTTCCTCTCCCAGCCCCTGAGGCTAGAAAATCTTGCTGCTCTGTCTTAGCATTCCAAGAAAGTGCTTCCAGGTATTTAGATAGCCCTCAGTTCTCAAATATTAGGCTACGTTTGAAACCTTGGGTACCTTTAGATTCCTGTAACACTAGTCTGTACCCCTTTTCCTTCCTCGAGACTGACAGGATGCAAGCTGAGGTGGTGTGGCCCCGGACTGACAGGCGCTGTTGGGGGGGTGTCCGCAGAGTAAAAGGAACACTAGAACCCCCACCTCCGAGTGGGAATAATTGATTTCCAGCCGCAATAAGCCGTGCCTCACCATAGTCACACTGTGGCTAGATTACACTTCTTTGGGTGCTGTGCTAAGAATGTCCATGGAAAAACTCAATCTCAGATTTTGGGTGAAGTTAACATGCCTGACACAGACATCCATTCCTTACAAGCTGTGTGACTTAGTATATAAGATACTGCCTTCTGCCTTTGGGACCATGATTAAAACAAACAGCAAAAGACAAAAATAGAAGTCACTTAAAAAAAAAGACTCCCTGGCTTGAGAGGCATTGGAGAAAAACCTGAGCTGAATGTGCAGTGGACACTAAGTCCAGGTCTCAGAACCACTGTGCGGTAGACGTAGCCCAGGCACTGGCTGTCTGGAAAAGTGCCACAGGTCCTCCCGGAAGCTGCTTTGCCTCCTGTCTGTGTCCCCTTTCCCTGCCACCAAAAAAAGTCTTTCAAGGATGAAGCTAAGGTCAAAAATGAATGAACGAACTTTCAGTCTTTGTACCCATTAACTGAAGCCCCCTCAATAGGAGAGGTTGGTAGAGGACTGTAGAGTGGGGTTTTGCTGACTGACTATCACAAATGCAAATACTTTCCTAAATAGGAGCAGAAAAGCGGGGGGTACTTGCCACTTACGTGGTGGGTCTGTGAGATATGGCGGGATGTGACTGCTTGGGTGTTCTCTTTACTCTGTCCTTGTAGAGGTGTGAAAAGCTATATTGCTACAGGCAATTTATTTAATAATTGGAAGCCATATTGATAATGGATGTGGTAATATTTGTAAAGTTTAATCTACTTTAAGCGGCAGTAACTAATGTAATTTTTTTCCTTGATCACATATGTAGCACTTTTGTTACTTTTTTAGAGATATTTATATTTGATAAATCTTTTTTTCATTTTGAGAACTCAAAATACCAAACAGTGAACTTGCGTTATAAAGTCACCCTGTGATCACCTTGTCATCCAGCAGCAAAATGATGAACTGTTCATGCATCAAAGAAAATTACATCTGCTGGCCTTGTATGAAAATGATCTCTTGGCATCCCGATTAAATGACACACTGTCACTGTGGGTAAGGGAAACAGCCCCCAGTGCGTCAGGTGAGGGCCTGTCGGAAGCCGCGACTGCTGGCCTGGCTGCCTCCTCACGCCTCCCCGCTCCGCATCCCGGGTTGTGTTGAAAGGGGCTCTGGGGCTGGCTGCTAGTAGGGCATTCCTTTCCTCGCCGTTACCTGGAGGTTCTAAGGTAGAAGGAAGGTGCCATTTCCTGACCTCCTCCCCACGAAATGTACTCAACTTAAAACCATTGAGAGGGAGTGAGACCCACTGGCCGTCCTCACTTTTCGTTCTCGCTAGTGAGACAGTGCACGCCCACCCTTTTCCCGCGGTCTGGCTCCACCGAAGGCACGTGCAGATGGACTGGCTCCTCGTCTGGCCGTCCTGCTCCGCCCGCATGCAGCGGCCTTGGAGGGGGCATGAAAATGCCACTGTCGGGGGCGGGGCGGGGGGCGCGCTGTGACTCGAAAGAGCTATGCAGGGCCTGGCCTGCTCTTGTCCATGGATTTCAGAGAGAAAATGTATATACTTTTTCAGCTTCCAAGAACTGAAGTAGAATGAAGTAGCCTTTTCTGTTTTACTGCATTACTTGAACCAACAAATTCAAGAGTAGCATTGGTTATTCTCAGGAATGGTCCCCCCCAGTCATTTTCTTTCTTGGTGTGTTTGCCTTTTTATTTCAACTAGGAGATTGTGTTATCTTTCTTTCCTTTTGCATTACTTAGAAGTAGTATAACATATCTTTCCATTTTGGTGGAATTTTGTGGGCTCATTCTAGGCTGAATCAGAAAGAAAAAAAGAGAAAAATTCACTGTCTGACAAGCCACATCCGTGATTTATTATTGTAAGGAGATTATTATAATTGATAGCTTCTTTATGATGGGATTGCTAGTATCATTTGTTCTTGCTGGTCTTTTTAAAGAAACAGACTCACACTGTTAAGACAGCTGCCGTTTCTAAAGGACTACAGTGATTGCCAGAGAAGAGCTAAAAGGTTCCATTGTTTTAAGACCTTTAAGGAAGGGCGGGGAAACCCCCACAGAGAATAAAGCGGGGCGAGTGTGCATGAAGGCAGTCAGTGCCGGACCCCACCTGGCAATCTGGGAAAAGTGAAAGAGCGTGTCTGGGCCACTGCAGGCGAGCATCCTACGAAACTCAGTAGGAGTGGGAGGGAGGGGTCTGTCACTGGAATCCTGCGATGAAGCGCGGCCCCTGGCTTGCTCCTCAGACCCACAGTCTTACCTACAGCTCCTGCTTTCCACCAAGAGTAAACATTCCATTTTCTGGGGCCTATGTTTAAAGCTACCGTTGTTTTTTTTTTGTTTGTTTCCAGGTTCAATTCCACTATCTTATCCAGGTTACCTTAGTTATTTTAATGGCATATGGAGTTGCCACTAATTTGAAATCTCGTTGGATGGTAATTTTTCTTCTTAAGCTTTTATAGGTGTGAGAGGTGATATGAAAATAGAAATCCTAAACTGCTCTCTTACTGAAGGGAAAATAGCCAGGCTCTAAAAAAAGTCCCATGCTGTGCTTTTTGGTCGTTCTCTCTTCTCACTTCATTGATGTACTTTTCTTCCTTGGCAAGGAGGACAAAGAGGGGAGGGGGGTAGGACCTTGCCAGCGGTTCAGGTAACTTGTCTGTTACATTTTTTAAGACTCCATGAAATTACTATGGTCCCATGGGTATACTTCCTTCCTACCCTTCTTAAAACACAGCCTTATAAAGGGACCTTTTAAAGATGGACCATCCCAGTGACAGTTCTGCCTGTTCGCCTCTCCAACATTTGATGAAGGCCAGGGAGGAAAACACAGTACGCCCTCATCCGAGACCTTCCTGTGCCAGTGAGCACCAAATAGACACTTTGGTTTATTTCTTCCGAGTTCTCAATGCCGGAATACCCCTGAAGACAGTTTTCTTTAGTCTGGATCCTTTAGGTGGTAGTTGGGTGTGGTTACCTCCTACCTGCCTATGGAGTCGGCACAGTTCCCAGACATGTCGCCTGGGGGGCAGCCCCTGCCCCTACATTTCCATATCCCTCCACAGAAATGGGAAGAGCTCTTAAGGGTGCCTTTTACTTAAGCTCAGTAGAGGTGACCACCTAAAATGATGTGACTGAGAAAGAAAAAGCTCATCAGTACTGAAGTGTGCAAACCCAGCGTTCCAGTTCCCAGACTGGTGATGGCTGGCAGCCCAGCAGGTAACAGGAGCTCTACTGGAGCCAGGTATCCAAATAATGTTTACCTCAAGGGGACTGCTTGAGCTCACAAACACAGCTATTTCATTTCTCCCTGTTTGACCTTGGTCTTTATAAACTGCCCTCTTGGGGCCCAGCCATCAGGCACCAAGTGTAGACAGACTCATTTCACCGGGAACCTGCAGTCACATCCTCTCCGCCCGTGACCAGCAACTCTCCCATTTTCCTCTAGGCTCCGACACTAATGCCTCATCTTGAGCTGACTTCTTCGCTGGAATTTATTTTCCACAGCAGGCAAAGTAGCTAGGTGTGGTCCATCTCCTCACGCAAACACTCCTTCCTGTCTCACAGCCCATTTTTTTGACCAGCTACATATTCCACTGACCAGCTATGTTATTTCTGCCCTAACAGTGGAAATAACCCCTTTTTCATAAATGACCTCCCACCCCTGTCCTAAAAATGTGAACTTCAAGTCCTTACTCTCTCTTTGGTCTTAAGGGTTTGGTCAGAAGCAGTCTTCCCATTTAACTCATGGCTCTGCCTTTTTTGTTGTTGTTTTGTCTTTTTGTTGTTGTTGAGAGAACCACCAGAGTATTTTTCCCCCATTGACTCTCAACAGATTCTTAGGCAATAATTTTTCTTGTTGTCGATGATCTTGCGCTCAGCAGCACTCAACATTGAGTAGTTCTGACCCTCTACATTGTGAGTTTTTTTTGTGTGTTAATCTGTGTGTGATTTAAATCTTAAGTCAGAGTGGTGATAGATTTTGTCACTTTGTTGTCATTATTAGTGAAGTTTCACTACTGCATTCATTGAGGCTGCATCGAGACCAGCCAAATCTATGTATAGCTTTACTGAGCCGGATTTGTTTGTCAGGATTTCCCACAAGAAGGTTGGGCACATAGGCCAGCTCCAGCTGGTGGTATCTTTGTGGGGTGTTGCGGGGGGAGTGGGGCGGGGAACCAACCATCTAATACATTCCTTCTGTGTGCTCTCTGAATAGCAAGGACTCTTCCTCAGATGCGGGGATCGGTCGTTAGCCATATTGCATTTGGCAAACTGAGCTGCATGCCCTGAAACCCTTCTGTTGTTCCTTAATTTCTGCGTATCCAGTGTACCTCGCTTGGTAATACCCAAGTTAGCCACTTGAAAGGTGTTCCACCACAGTGAGAAGGGAAGGTGTTCCTGAGAGGCAGCTGTGCATGGCCAGGCTGTCCTGGGGGGCGTGCGCTCAAAGCGGAGGCCCTGCCTTCTGCACCGCAGTCTTTTCAAAAGACGACCACCACCTACGAGGAGAGATGTCCTCACTGCTCTCAGGAGAACTACTATGCTGAGGTGGTGGGGAAGGCTTTTTACACACCAAGCCTAAGGGTCTGCTTGCCACATACCGAAGCTCCTCTTGCAAACAGGTTATGTTCAGAAAGGCCATTTCTAATTTTCTTTGCTTGTCAGCTGGAAGTGACAAGCCACTGCTCTTGCCTTCTAGAGGGCCATGGGCTGACTCACCTGATATCTGAGGGGCAATTTTATTCATGTCTAGGTACATACAAAAACTAGAAATTTGTAAATTGAGAAGCTTCCATATCAGCATCGCTATTCTTTCTTGGTAGGGATGAGAAATAGCAACAGAAAGCGCGTTATGACCTAAGTCCAGCTTCCTAGAACATTGGTTTCCTTTTGGTCATTGAAGGGAAGGAACAGGAGAAGAGAGAAGGAAAACGTTGCACCCAAGGGTCTCACGTCCCCTTCCTGTTGCCACCCAGGAAGCTCGAAGGGGTCTTAGACCCTTGGGGTTGCAAACATGCAGATCCTGGGACTCCTTTTTAATACCCTTTTTACCACCCTGCATGTGACACTGGGGGCCAGGCAGGAGCAGAACCAACCTAGTAGCTACCATTCCAGCGAAAGCTGACCGGCATCTTTACACCGAGTGCTCACCCCACACATCTCGCACCGTGACCTCGGCAGCCCGATCCCCGGGCCCAAAGGGAAGGGCCCTGTGGCAGGACGCGCCGCCCCTCCCTCCCTACATCTGTTTTACTTGGCATGTTTTCACATCGACGTGCCCCTGTGTTGTCCCCTCCAGTGGGTGTCCGGGCCCCACGGTACCGCCAGGGCGGGATGGCAGCTGAGTGGGTGCTGTCTCCAGGCTGCCATTTGCAGACGGGAGGGGGGCATGTGCATACCGCTTAGCTCTCAGTTCGTACGTCTTGGGATGCCGGCTGCGTTTACATCTTCTCTCGCTCTTTAAAATAAAAGTGGCTCTATACAGCCATAATTAACTCTCAAACTCACATTGGTGTGCTGTGATCAAATGAAGGTTTGCCTGAATCCTTTCAAATTGTCACCATGGTAATTGAGGGGGGTGGCATAGAATGAGTATATAAAAATATAATGACAATTGTTCTGAATGACTGAGTGTCCTCCTGACATGTAATTAGCTGTTTTAGCAAGATGTAGATTGGCATGGTCATAATTAAAAGGATTTCTGTCCTTTATGTGACTGAAAATGGCAGCTCTCCCATTCCCTGTTCCCTTTTAGCACGAGTGCTCCCAAGAACATTTGGAGCCGCAGCTCAGTGGCCTAAGATAATGACATGGTGTTTGCGTCCTCCCTCGCGTCAGGGAGAAGGGCTTGGAGCTAGCTCAGCCTCAGAATGGAAGCCTTGGTTGCTGCTCCCCATCCGACTTCTAAAGCCCTGGAACCCTGCCTCTCACATCCGCCCTCAGCTGGCCACCCTGTGGCAGAAAGTCCAGCGCTCTGCGACAGGCCTCCCCGTCACTCTGTCCCGCTTGCTGGCCAGCTAGCATGTCGCGTTGGTCTGACTCGAGGCCATTTACTGCCTCACTGGCGCCTGGAGTTTTACATTTTTCCTTGGTTACAGCTCCATTGCCATCACTACCAGAAGGTATCTATCAAAGAGGTGTTCGCTCGCGACTGAAATAAGGTTTCCTCATTGGATCGCGCGACACACACACAAACAGAAACCAACACGTGGGCTTTAAACGACTATGAGGTATGAATGGAATCCTGATATTTGCAATGAAGTTCCTGAACGCGTGTGAGCTCCAGCCAGGTGTCCGCAAAGCGCTCTTACACACCTTCCCAACGTGCCGCATGAGCGGCCTGCTCCGCCCTGAGCTTCCGCCACCGCCGCCAGCCCGTCCAAGTCCTCATGCTTTCCCTCCCACTGGCTCCCTTTCCCTTCCGTCCCTTGGGTCCCCTCC